CCCCCTTTCAAAAAACGATACTACGTGCCTGTTAGATGAATCTAAAGATGAGTATGATATGATTTATTCCATATATTACTTCATGCACGTTCTACTCCAGACAAGCTAGTCTCCGAGAGATCAATACCCCCTGTCAATCAGTGATATTATGGACCTGCAATATGACGTTTTATATTCTATCTGCGTTGTGTTAATGTTATCATGGGATCAAATATTACAACGTGTTGTGTCAATATCAATGAACTATCAATAAATCGAACATTTATGGACTCGTGTCACCCGAAAGAACAAGCCAATCAAAGACAGGAAAATGAATTTACTCCACAATGGTTTACAAATTATAGGAATTTATCGTGTTCCGATGTTTAAATTTACATGTACACACCAAGTTAAAATCGAAAGTAAATGGAGAACACAGTTATCTTTTTTTTTTAATCTTTTAAAATTTGGTATACATTTATTCTGCATTCACTACTCCGGTAATATTCCTTAAACCGCTTCAAAAATTAACGAACTGTAGAGAACAGTTAATTATTTATACAGTTAGGAAAATATTAACTGCATTTTTCGTTTATTGGTAACCAAAATATTATTGCCAAATAACCCAAAAAAATGTTATATCTCGTGAACAAAAAACAAAAACAAAAAATAGTAAGAAACAGATTTTGAATCGTCTCAAGGTAGATTCTTCGGGTCTTTACCAGAATATTGTCCTTTATAAAAATTTTGATATTTTTATACAAAATAAAAATTTTTGTAACTGACAATACTAGGCATCGACTAAATACGGTCCAAAACGGAGAAATATTTCCAATTTTCATAGTACAGAAATAATATCTTTTAATATTTCTATACAAAAATATGTTCTTGACAATTTTATTTAAAATTTTTGTAACTGACAATACTAGGCATGGACTAAATACGGTCCAAAGGGGGAAATCTTTCTAATTTTATAGTAGAGGAATAATGTCTTCTAAAGATCTTAAGAAATTGATTTTAATATAAATAAAACTCTGTGTCTCCATTTTCCTTTTCTTCCAAATAAAGCGAAATTCTAATTCGGACTGATTTGCAATATTGCTCTTGTCACTCATTTCAGGCTCATGGTTTACTATAGCTGACATTTTATCCCTTCTTCACGAAATGTTAATATTTGTCAGGGATTAACAATATCAGAATCTCCAATAACAATTTATTACCAATCAATCGAACATTTATGGTCTCGTGTCACTCTCACGAAAACATGGTAAAATAAATTTTCTATCAGAAATTATGTCCTTGTGTTCGAAACCTATATTTTAGTCCCGAGGTCACTTGTGTTTGTTTGTTTTCGAATAAAATCCTTTACTTTCGACAGGTGTCACATAAATTTTATTGCATTTTTATGGTTACTTGTCAATTACCGAACGTAGCTTAATTCAATTACTTATATATAACATTTTTTAGAAATAATAAAATATAAAAATACTTTTCTTAGTGTTTTAGTTTAAATCACATACAAACATTCAGTAAAAGAAAAATGAAAAGTATTCGGAAACAAGCTTCGCAACTGAAACTAAATCATCTCTCTATTATTTTGCGATGTATTTGACAGGTTCTTATGTATTTAGGTAGTAAAAAATAAATACGGCTGTAGATGGTTTTAAAATAAAGCAACTATGTAAAATTTTGCGTACATTTTACAAAGGAAAATAAACAAAACCTTTTGGTATTTAAAGCGAATACGACACAAAATATAATTACATTATTATGTATTTTTTTTACCGACGTGTACAATATTTTTAAAAATATCAGATATAATATACATAATTATTTAATTATTTTATAATCTTCCTTCAAATTATGAAATATTTTTAAAATATTTCTAATAACTGAACAGAACATTGTTTTTATATTCATGTCGCTAGAAATGTACATGTATGCATATATATATAAACCATTAGCAGTCAATATTTCACACGTCACGTGATAAACAAGTTTTAAGTAACCTTACCCCGGTCTGCTGGGGGATACTTGATCGGGGGCGTTATTGTTCTGGGTAATTTGCACCTGATGACAGAACCAATGATTTCTTGGTAATCCTCTTCGTCCTCTGTAACCTTTCTTACCACTTACGCTAATTAAAATTCTAAAATTCCATTTTTTCTTGAAGTTTATGTAAGAAATTTTTAAATGAGCTGCATCAGTGAACAGTTCTTGTTCGATTTTTTTTCGTAAGTTTAGCATTTCCATCAGACATTTTGCCTCAAAAAACTTCCTTCGCGGATATAAACGGATAAGAAGATAATTATAATTGAAGAGAGATCTGACAGAGGTTACCAGGTTGTATTCGAAATATCATCAACGTCATCAAATTTCCAAGTATCAGACGAAGATCAAAAATTATCATTCTCATCAGATTTTAACGTCTCTAATTATGAAAAATTATTCACATCTGTGCAGGATTGCAAACAGCCCTCTTTGTGTAAATATTACTTTTTTAACTGTTATGTGTATATCACGTTTAAAGACGATTTGACATCCAATAAAGGCGTAGAGCTTAAATGATATTGTTCACGCAAGCAGTGCTAATCGCTAACTTTTCCTTGCAGTATTTGGTTGCCTTTAATGTGTTTTGATATAGGTTCGTCGTGATTTATGACTCAAAACATACAAACTGGGTAGAATTAATACCTTTTATGAAATAAGCGCTACTGGAGAAAGAAATGATTTTTAACTCTAAATGTATTTATTTCTTTACGTAAGGTATAAGATACAGTAATACTCAGTAGTTGAAATGGATTCTGCCACGAAAAATTAAAATTCTTTTTCGACGGTTTATCTTTAAAAAAGATTAGTATGCCATACGAACTCGTTAGTTTTTACAAAAGCTCAGATGAACTGGGGATTTAAAACGGGGGATGTGATATCCTTCGCAATTAGATGACAATGAAAAGTAATTATTCAACTAATTATCCATAAAAAGAAATGGACAGAATTTCCTCAGATACACCTCACCTGGACAAAGATTATCGTTGTTTTCTTGCCTTACCAAACTCTTGCTTCGAAACTGAAACCATTTTCTTCAAGAACTCGAAGAATAATCTGATCTTGAATCTGATATCATACCACAGTAAAGGGAAAAAGATGAAAAGGCCAGCCAAGAATAACTGATGATTTGTTAAATTTCTGATAAATCATTGATTTTGTAATTATTTCCTTGTGAGACAAAATAAGTCGTCCTTTCTGACCCTACATTCCTTTCAATGAGAACTGATCCTTTTCCCTTAAATTCTAAGATGTAAAATTTGTTTGGGTTATGCAAGTTAAAAATTTAATGTAGATGTTTTAACTTTTTCTGATTTCAGAAATAATAAAACTAATTGGTAACTGAACTCACTGATCTGTAAAATGTTGTACATAATAAAGGTCTCAAATGAGTACAAGTATACTTGATAATTTTATATTTAAAAATACTGATATGAGAAAGTTTTCTTTTATAAGTACACACGATGTAAACTAATGATTTGAATTGATTTAGAAGGTCATTTGAAAATTTTTCTTAAAAGATTTCTATTTAAACCACAAAAAGCACGATCCCGGAGTTTTTTCCCATGAGACAACAAATCACGGATTGATACTTTAAATTTATCATAAATTATAATCAACAAAAGTTCACAACTATTGGTCCTTGATGAAAAAAAGCGGTGCTTTTTATGGAATAATGGCATACCCAACTAAACATCAAATTAAAGGATCATCATAAGAACAGTTTCAATTTTTCACAAACTCTTAATATTCACTAATGGTTATAACTTAATTTCTTTCTTGTTCCTTTAAACGAAACTTTAAACTTTTAAAAGTTTAATGCACTTTCCCCGCCGGGTTCCAATCATATCATTATTATTTTTCTTTGTGAGTCAACAGTGCAAGTAAAATGCTGTGTGTTACTTCAGATTTTATTTTGAACTTTTTTATATACTCTTTCATCATTTAAGGAAATATTTTTATGTTTTTCATCGTAAATCTTTAAATTTAACTTTCATGCATGCATTTTGTTTCACTTCTTAAACATGCACCGAGTTTTACCAGAAATATTAGATTATGTGGGTGCACCATAATTCAAATCAAACAGAAATTCCATCGTTAACATTCTTATAGTTAAGACTCCAAGTAAAAAAAATAAATTTAGAACTGTCCCTGACCAATATACATGTCTACTTCCAATACTTCATGTCTTTTAAAAAATAAGAAGAGATTTATCGCAATATTCATGTTCTCATGATGGGTACAATTTGTTCTATGGCTCTTCTAATATTTTAACAATTTAGAGCTTCGAGGTAGATAAATCTCATTTCAGTCGCAGGATGCCGTACTCTACAAACATCTCACTTAGTGCTGTCTACCACATCTATAGAGACATTTTTCAACAAAAAAAAAAAAATCTACGCTTCTTTTTCAACGTGTTTAACCCATGATGACTAGTTTTAGTGTAGAATTAAGAAAGCAAGCATTTCTTGCTCTGATATATAGGAGTTAATCCATCACATTCACGTGTTTTCCTTCCCTACATTACGCATGGCATTGAAAAAAAATTTCACCAAAAAAAGCACATGCTTACAAACACTTTTCTTTTGCCATTGAGTCTACCTGTGCCATCAGACATTCAGAATCAAGAAAACGAAATGACATTTTCCTGGATATAAAAATGCTACACATGTAGGAGTCTGTGACGCTTAGAACCTAATAATTCTGAATTATTTCCCTGGTTCTTAATAAGAATGTCCTATGTTCAAGATTTATTTTACATCCTTTTTTTTTTCTTATAATGTGATATTATTCTATGTTTGTATAAATAGCGACGTATTGAATGACACATCATATCTTCAGTCAGAGGACTCGGTTGTCCGATTTTCAAGTCATTTCTTTCTCTTTTTCTTCAATTTACCAAAGTGCATGCTAGGAAACAACAAAAGCAACGTTTTTCATTTAAATCGTTTAATAACAATTCATCTGTTAATTCAACAACATTTCAAATATATAAATACAACAAAGGATCACGTGACAAATTCTATTTTGTGTCTGCTGCAACAAGGCGACACCGAGGACTGCCTATAAAAGGTAAGGTTATATTTACATGGATTTGCTAAAAGATCATTGGCAATATAAAACGTACATTAATCATGAGTATTCAAATTGCTCTCTTTCATTCTTATCATTTATAGACCATTTATTCGTTATTTAGTTTCTCATTCTCTCACGCACCCGACATTCAAACTATAAAATGTGTATCAGTTCATGTGACCTCATGACCTTTCTAGGTCAGCCTTCTGTAGAAGAGGGTGTTGCGCCGAGCTCAGTGGAGAGGTGCGAAGTGGAGATGACGTAAATGGTGGAGGTGGAAAGAGACCCGACATTGGCGAGGAAATGGAGGAGGTGGACAGTCCGAGAGATACGGGAGGGGTGCAGGTGCAGGGTTTTCCAGAAGATGCTCCACAAACAGCAGGGTTGTGTTCCATCCATGGAAAGTGCATCCTGGGTGGCATGTGGAGTCCCGTGGGTGGAGATGAGATCTGAGGGAGAGCATCTAAGCCTGGTAGACGGTGAAGTGGACTACTGCTGTGTGCAAGGGAGTTCAGCATATCGAGACGAGATGGTAAAGGACTGGGGACTGAGAGTGGAGTAAATGCTGAACCAGCGGAGGACGGAAGTCCGTGAAGCCCCAGCGATGGGTAGGGGAGAGAAGTAGCACTAGGAACTCCGTAAGGGTAGGAGGCAGCGGCAGCGGCAAGATAAGCGTACAGCTGGGGATCGGGGGGGATTCCATAGGGCCAGGTCAAGGCCATTCTTTGACGTTTGTCCTTCATACGGCGGTTTTGGAACCAGACCTGTTAAAATAAAATGAGAAAATTAAGTTTCTTTCCATAATTTTTCATTTCTTTTTTTCTAAATAAAAAAGGGTAAATTTTGTATACTTTTCCTCAGTAAAATCATATGAAAATGTGTAGATGTATGTACCTTTATTGTGCTTTCAGAAAGGTTGAGCTGAGCAGCAAGTTCGCATCTCTTTGGGCGCGAGACGTAATTCTCCTTCAGGAATTCCTTTTCTAATCTGTTGAGCTGCTCTTTGGAGAAAGCTGTCCTGTATCGGCGAATATCCCTTTCTTGTGCGCTCTCTGTAAAAGATAATAACATCTGGTTATTACTTCAATTGATACTTTGGTGGTTAATGCAAGTGCAATTCTAGTCAGGGATTAATTGTCAATTTAGCGGCCTAACCAGGGTCTATAAAATCGTTTTCATTCAAACTTAAGTATTATTACTAGAACAGCATGGAATTTGTGCGCGTGCATTCGCGCGCAATATTTCCCTCATTTGATTTATGACTTGGAACGAATAGAATTATATTATCGATGAAACTCTTTGATTTTCGAAATTGGAAATCGTTTACAACGCTGAGCTATTGATGGTTGCAGGTGTGTTTCTATGGGGGTTTCTGAAGCCGGCTTGGTGACCCGCGGCGTTTATTTGTTTCATTTTATGTTCTCCTCCCCCAATAAGGTTGATTCGGTTCTCAGATTGTCCCAGTCTTGTATATAAATATCTTTTGAAAGATGACGAACAAATAGATTATTACTGTGTCCGAAAACCCCCTCAAAGTAAATTATCATTTGCTAAGAGAGTCAATGCCGTGAAAAAGCTAATGTATGATTATTGTTCACTTACTCGTTTCACTACGTCCCTTTAAGTTTTACTGAAACACATTAAAATTGCACTTCAAAGAAATTGGGAAAGGTTTAACACACACTAAAAATATTTCCCTAAATAAAAATAAATAATTTCCCCCACAACATCTAAAACATCCTCGTTTATAAAAGGTTTTGTGGGATTTTTTACAGTAGCTAAGCGTGGGTCTTTTACGGTCAATTTTAATCCTTAACTTTTGATTTCATCTCAGACTATCTTGCTTTCTATTTCATTTTTTTTTTCAAATAATAATTCCCGAGGTTAAAATACTTTTGATGAGTATTAAAATGTGTTAATTAGCAGACGAGATTAAGTCACGTGTTCGTACCTCAAGGAAGCAGACGCTGCGATCATAAAACAGTACCGCAGAATATGAAGAAAAGAGCAATTAACAAAAGCCTTCGGACATATAACACAAGTGAACTGCAATAATTGAATTATTCCTATCCTCTTTGATCCGTCTAATTACCTTAGCATAAACAAATAGTTGTAATTCTATTATTGTTTGATAATTATTTGCAATGGAAATGAGATGCAATCCATCATGCACTGATTGGAGTCAATCATAAAATGTAATATCTACTATTGCAGACTTTTTTATCCGTTTTATTTAAATTCAGATTAATACAGAACGCCAACGATGTTTTGATAAATCTTATTTCGCGTTTATTTATTTTGCCAACGGTTAAAAGAAATTATGTTTTCTGTTTGAAAAAAATGAAAGTAAATCATGACAAAGCAAGATTATGTGTATATTTCATTTCAGCTCGAAATAGCGCGCGCTTTTCAGATTAGCTACTCGTAATCTTTTCTCGGTCGCGTGCGAATTGGCGTTATTGTAAGATGAAGTAGTCAATTTATTTGTTTGCAAAGAAAATATTTATACAATTATTGTTCGGAATAATTGTCATCCCGCGGTTTGTTTACGAATAAAGTCGTTTAAATAACACCTAATAAGACAATTCGAAAAAAACAAATTAGTTCTAAAAACCAATATTTTTCTTAGATAAGACTACAGTGGTCTTTAATTTTGGCGATTGGACCTAACAAGAAGATGGCAAAATTAAGACCAGCGCAAAACTCGATGGGAGATATAATCTACTTTTATAGTGAAAATGGACGTGAGATAATGAAAAGAATTAGTCAAAATAAAACTTATGGCCTTTGGGAGATGGAGAATGAGATTAGATAAATAAAACATACCCCATTCCAATTTGGTTTTAGTAGTTCGACTGGGGTTTGATCTATTTTGTAAAATTACTACCGCTAAATTACCTTTCCAAAGGATGAAAGGGGCGCATGAAAAGATTACCTAAACGAATTATTGCTCAATAAAAGGACTGTATGCGATTAAAGGAGCATTCTGGTAACAAATGAGATGTCCCTATCTATTCCCTATGCTGAGGGGAGGAAAAAAATAACTAATTGATGCGCAAAGTCATCGTCTTAAGAATGTTTATTAACATGTGTAAATTCCCATATCAAACATGCAATTGCAAGATCTTCTCGATAGTTTAATTCGCAGAGGGTGAATAAAAAAATCAGAGAAAGTTTCATTGTGCAAGTTAATTTCTTTTCATCGCACGACACATCAACTAAGATGAACAGATTAAGCAGTGGATTCCTTCTCATTGCTAGCGACTGATTGCCAAATCATCACACATCAAAGAGGGCCATCTAAATGGAATTTCTAAACCCCAAGTCTATTTAGTCAAATGAAAAACATTTTATAGCTTACCGTTTTATACAACATTAAACTTGAAATACTTTATCAGATTTTCAAGGACAAAAAAAAACGCCATTACGAGCGGCTATCTTGAAAGTAGAGAGAATTGTTGCAAAACCTGATTGGCTACATTTTACTATTTGTCCATTCTAGTTTATACGCAGGTGAAAATGGTGCTAACAAGTTTTATTTGATTTAAAAATCAGATAAAATGTAATATTTAAAGATGGTGAAACAATGGTTTTATTTTAGCTTTGTGAAATTAGTTGTAGTACCTATACAGTAAATGGTTACATTTTAAAGTCATCTTTTATTACAATTTCTTATATTGCATTCTTATTCCTCATATAACTGTTTTCGAATTTAAATTCTTATAATTTTTTTTTTTAAATTAAATTAAATCTTGAAAATAAGTCATGTGCAAATTTAAGGCGTGAATTTTTTATGGAAAAAAAAGTGTTTATTGAATGCGCATACATACTACCTGCTTGTGTAAAATGAGCTAAGTGGTCTATTATATTTAAGCATTCAATTGCATCAACAAATAAGGAACTGTATACGCGATTGTCTTAAATGTAAAATGTCCATTAGCTAATTGAGCGAGAAATTATTATGTAAAGTAAAAAGGATGTGAAATTAAAAGAAATGGGTAACCATATACAATACTTGGTTCATGCTAAAATTCATTTTTGAGGAAGAAATCATCAGGCAGAAAAAAATCACATCCTTCTTCAAGTTAAATAGGGTCGGAATTTTATTTCATACAATTTGTCACGGCTTAAATATGTAAGAAGGAAAGATGAATTATTTCTTTATATTCTATATAACATCATAAGAAGTTAAATATTAAATTTAAAAAAAAAAGACCTAATTTAGAAATTTAATCAAATTAATCTTGAAACTCATTAAAGAGTTCTCCTGAGCATGTATATTATTATATGTATATGAAGAAAATGCTATCATATGTCATAGTTTATGGTTTAGCTTTATAAGTCCTTACAGTCATAAAGCAACATTAATTTTCAAAAAAAGACATTAAATTGCTTGAAGTAATGAATAGCGCCTTTATAATTTGAAAATAATTAGATACAAATTTTAGTTCATAATAAAAAGTGTTTTTAATGTGGAGTTCCTACCAATGTGACCATTTTGTACCAACATTAAAGTAGCAATGCGACTAAGTTTTAAAATAAATAGACCCTGATATATGGGGCCAAAGACATAGGTCATGTCTTGAATTAATGTACACTAAAATAGATATACTAATTAATTTTAATAGCTGACTAAATATTAATAATCCAATTTGCATCAAATGGTTATCAATAAGTCATTCAAGGTAAAATATTTTCAAAGAAATAATGAATGACACATAAGATAATGAAGAATTCGCTTTCAAAGAAACATAAAAATATTGGAAATGAAAGTTCATTATCAACTTAAAGAACACGAAAATCATGGAAAGAGAGAATTTGAGACAACTCACCTTTCCATTTTCCTGAGAAGCGTTTGTCAGGTGTGTCTACCCCGGAGCTGGAATCGGAGCACTCGGAGCGGGGAGATTCCGGGAAATTTTCTAATGACTTCTCCAGCTTTGTACTGTCGTCCGACATGTTCTTCAAATTTTCCTCCGTTCCCGAGGAATCACTCAGGCTCTGGTTGGGGGATGAAGGCAGCGATCCTTGCATGATGAAATTTCGGTGTTTGTAATAAAAATTCGACAAAATCACAAATCTGCTTGTCAACAATTAGGATAATTTCACAAAAACAAGAGTCTCTGATTGCTATTCTTGTGGATTATCAGATACAAGCAGGCTATAATATGCACATTAATGTCACCAAATGAATTGGATCTAGGAGTTTGGGATAGTTAGTTCCTTTCTCAATGAGGCGAGTCTTTGCTCTGATCTTAATGTTTCATGATGACTCTCTTATAGACAGCATTTTCCCAGGTAATCAGCCGTGAAAACCTAAACATATTCATTGATAGAGTAATTACCTCCATAAATCAAAGAGGAAACCTGTGAAAAATGGCCCATTTCGACTGTCAATTGCGCATCGATAACAAGATAAAGGCGGGGTCTGATACTCGCTTGACTGCGCAGGGCGGAGTTCCAACAAAATGTCTTCACTGATTGGTTGATATAAAAATCCCGCTATTACACGTCAATGATATGGTTATCAATGAGTTTTTCTTTTATCTCAAAGAAAAACAAATTTGTTATCTAATTCTATAATGCCATAAACCACAATGTTTAAAAAATAACATTTTATTAAATTAATTTATTACATTCCATAAATTATCTACAATTTACAAGAAAATGGTCACCTTAAAGAACCGGAATTTCAAGAAGAATAAATGCAAAAATCGATGATTAAAGTAAATATTGCCGAATTTACAGACTTTCGGTGCATTTTATGACTTAAGAGCTTTTGAAGTTTTAATCTTCACTTAGAATTTCATTTATTGTTAGGCATTTGAATTACACAGGTTTATAAGATCATTGAAAAGAGGCGATCATTAATACACCGAACTGCAATAAAATTATTACACTTCAAAAGTCCCCCTGAACACTATTATGGTACTGCATACGTTTGATGTTCAATGGTTTAAGCTATAATTCTAAAGAGGCGGAAATTTTTATGAAACTTTGTAGCTCGCGTCCAATTTTCTATCTTTAAAAATTTATTGTCGAAATGTGAAGGCATGCGTTGATTTTTTTTCTCTATTTCTTCCTCCAAGTTTTGCTCTCTTATTTTCATCTTTGATAAATAAATGATTCATAAGAATTACCACACAATACTTAATTTTCATAACATTCTAAATTTTATTTGAATTAAATGAATTATTTCATTTACATAATGAATGATAAAGAGTTGCATTTGTTCTTGAAAATGTTTCAAATGTACATGTAGACGAGAAAAAAAAAATTGCAGGGTTTAATTATCTCAACCAAAAAGATTCGAAATGTCTATCTCAATAGCACTTTGTTTCTAATAAATCCTTTAAAGGAGATCAACATTATGATTTTCAGTGCTTAACGTAAGAACACAACAACTTGTGGTTTTAAAAAAAATGCAATATGTAAGGCAAGCTCTATAGATTCATATTTTCTGTAGGATTAAATAAAAATCACCCAATATTATGAACACTTTATTGTATTCTTTAATTCATTAAGCTTTTTAAATGTATATGGTTTTATGACACATTTCTCAGAAATAAGAAAAATTACAAATTCCTTTTTTTAAAATGATTCATATGGAAACTGTACTCAAATTCCAAATCGGATGATATTTACACAACGTGTGAATTTCGAGGCTCGTCTATTTTTTGAAACTTCCCACCTTGAATAATTGTTATTGTAACAACTTAGACAACCCAATTCATAACAATCGGACAAGGTGCAATTATTTACACTAATTTAGCGGCGTAACTTCAAACAAACTCCCAATATTGCGTGAAATTGTTCAGGTAGATCAGAATTAGTACTGGTAGGTTAAATTCTTTTTATTTCTTAATTATATATCTACGGGGCTTAGCGCCTTACCCGATTTTGAGCTTTGGGAATTAATAGAATCTAAATCAACTATCTTCAACACATTGATGAAGTTTTTATGATAATTAGTAGAAATACCTTGAATGTCCCTTTTATAGAGAGCCGATTTACGATTGTAAGATTTGTAAGTAGAAGAGGTGTCCTATTGTGATCATTATTTGAAATAACAGGAAAGTTTTGTACCCAAACTGTTACTCGCCAATATTTACTGAGAATATATTTCAGTAAAGGACAAACAATCATTTCCAACGCTGCATTTTAATTTTTTTTTATTTATTTATTTTTGTAACAGTCTAAACATAGTTTAAACAAAGAAAGATAAAAATAAAATTCATTATGGTAAATCTCTCTATTTTTGATGGAATTCAAATCTGGATGAAAAATGATATTCATATGTATTTCATAATTTTATCAATGATGAATAATAAATACTTCCATTTTTCAATTCCCACGACGATGAAAAAGGTAATGATAATATAATTTGTGTGATTTATGGGAAACAGTTCTGTAACATAGTACTAATTTTTGACACAATAGCTGCCAATGCAAAGTACACGTGTAGTACATGTATATAACAAGAACAGTACTGACTGACAGTGATTTATACTAAAGACAGTCGTGGACATAACTGGACATCGACAGTGGTCAGTTCGATAGTAATTTATTACGGTACTAGCATGGTACATTTGTATTTTCAGGGTACATTGAAATTTACATAAAACATTAAAATGTAATAATTTCGTTAAACGGTTTTATTTGGTCATGTAAGGAAAACTGACACGGGTAATATTTTTTTGGTTAAATATGACAAAGTGTTTGTGGCAGAAAATGTCAAAGTTTTATGCAAAATAAGTACTTATGATTTATGGCTAATGGAAAAGTAGTATTAATAAATGGATATAATGTAATTTAATTAGGTCCTTGCCCAAGTTTTCTATATAAGTGAGTACACATTATTACCAGGACTTAAGACTTTGGTCATCATTTGCAAACATATAAATCAAATACACAATGTAAGATCATTAATTTAAAATGTGATGACCAAATTAATGGACACAGAAGTCATTTAAAACAATTCATTTTGTTTATTAATGATAAAAACTACATATAGATACTAGTTTTAATTTTTTTTTTTCAGGAAACAAGTTTTAATGTTTTGAATTTCCTGTAATAATTATTTGTCAGTATCTGACGGTCCTCACAGTATAATAAAAAGTACGATATGACACTTTCAATGAAAAACTCTCTTCAGTTATATTTATTTAGTGTTGGGAGTGAAGGGGGTGGGGGGGGGGGGGCAGCGTTATGAAAACTGAATTTCCTCATTTATAAGATGTACAGGTTTCTATGTGAATTGTTTGATATTGTACAGGCAAATCAGAGTTGAAGTGAAGCAACAATAAGTTGAAATTCCAGCATATGTCTTTGCCTGGATAAGTGTAAATAGTCTTCGATCATGACTGGACATAAAAAGACTAAAATGACCAACAAGGGAATCGACTTGGAAAAAAATAAACATATGGACTCTAACAGCGCAATTACACAATTTTGGATGGCCAATGATTGAATATTTAATGGGATCCTGATACGAATTCTCTAATCTTGCTTCACATAGCTAACCCCGATATTGTTTATCGTGTGAACTACCGTATTACAAATTCTACCCCGGGTCCCAAGGAGACAGGTCGCCGCACTAATTCGATTTGCGGCGATCAAAGCGGTACGTTTATTTTCGATCTGTTCGTTTCTATTGTTATCTATCTTGTAATTACACCATCGCAATCATGAGAGTGTTATCTGTTTCATTGCTAGAAAATTAGGTATAAGTAGAGTCTGCCCTTTGGCTGCTGAACGGTGTTGGGTGCTCGTAAAACTTTTTTAAAAGAAACTGTAAAGTTGAAAAATTTCCCCAGGGGTTCAAGCCTCGTACACTAATTTCGGTAAAGAAAGTGTGAAATGAACCGTTTAAGTTTGAATTTATTACATTTATAGATAATTTAAACTTCAAAGGTCCAGCGAAGATTATCTTGAACACCGAGGGTTATATAGAATACGGTAGAAAATATGTTTACACCTTATAAACAAATTAAAAGATGTAAAGATTTTTTTTTTCGTTTTCTAACGGAAAATAAGATTTATTACATGGTGCAATAAAAACTATGGTTCAAAGTGTCGATTTGTAATTTTATAACAGTTAAAACCTGCACACTAGAACACTCCATTTCAAACCTGTATTTTTACAGACACATCAAAAGGATGCAGTTGGTCAAATTTAATTCAGTTAATCCCCACAAGAGATCGATCGAGTCGTTTTAGTTATAGTTCAGACACTTAAATTTTAGAAGACTAAGTTCTCTGGAAATATACATATGTTTAAATATCAAAATTTTTCATATTCTCAATAAAAAGAAAAAAAGAAAAAGAAAATGGCAGTTCGTCTTTCACTTGCTTACCAGATTTTTTTTAATATCTTAAATTGGAAATGTTAAAGAAAAGACAATCAATTATGTATTAATTGCATGAAATCTCTTGTGATAGGCAGACTGGAAAATTTAAGAACAAATATGAATAATTTGAAGATGAAGTCAAAAACAGATGTGTCAGTGTCAATTGTCAATATAAAATCAGTGTCTCAGAAAAGGGGAAACTGAGTTTACGGTCCATTATGGCGACCGCGGAAAATTTGATCGTCTGCAGCAACTTAATCAAACCGTCTCGGCCACAAAACAAATGTGATGGGTCTTGTTAAAAATGACAAATTAATCCACAAGTGTCAAAGCTTAATAAGGTTTTACATCTGTCAATAATTCTGTAAAATTAAGTCATTTTTATTCCAAAAAAATATTGTTCATTTTGTAGTAATTAGCACGTTTTAGAGGTCGAGATTAATCAGAATTGCACGGGCCTTTTTTCTTCCAATTATTGGTGATTTATCAAATATTACTCCGAAAGGTTTAGTTTTTAGATTCCTCGAAGCAAACAGACGAAAATAAAACAGTACGCAGTTTCCATTAAAAAAAAAAAGGCTGCGGTGAAAGCAATTAAACTGAATAATCAACTTTGAATGGTTCTTTTTTTTTTTATACAATTTAGCAGTTGTTCATATTTCCTTCAAATAAATTGTCTGGTGAAAAACAAGATATAATTTTGTCAAAATAATGTAAGTTTACTATTCACAGTTATATATTGGATATTCTCTAAATATCCTAGGTATTCCAGATAACGTTTGATTGTCTGTATCGAAAATATGCGCACAGAGGGCAAAATCTCTAAAATGTCATCCATCCTATTACTTCTTTAATAGAATAGCATCATTTATTTTCTCAAAGTGCCATTTGCAGTGACGTTTATTCTCGTTTTTATTTCGCTTTATTTGGGAAGCAGACTCTTCCACACTAATCTTTTAGCAAAGAAATTACACACCACCTTCGTGATTAAGTAAATCATCTACACAAATATGGA